CTCCCCCCCCCCCCTCTAACCCCTCCCCCCCCCCTCCCCCCTCCCCAAACCAGGGGGGGGTCACTACCGGTTCGAACCCCTCCCCCCCCCCCCCCCCCTCCAGATCCGGAAAACCGGGGGGGGTCACTACCGGTTGGAACCCCCCCCCCCCCCCTCGAAAACCGGAGGGGGGTCACTACCGGTTCGACCCCCCCCCCACGCACCGCCAGCAAACGACTCCCGGTCCCTACCACCGCTCGCATCACATCCCCCACTGTTGTTCCCAGCACCACTGTCCTCACCACCACTGTCCCCACTGGTTCCACCACCGTCCCTATTGTCCCCACCAGTGCCCCCACCACTGTCGCACTGTCCCCACTGTTCCCACAACTGTTCCCACCACGGTTCCACTCTCCCCACTGTCTCCACGGACCCAACCACTGCCTATCCCCACTGTCCCCACTGTCCCACTGACTCCTCCGCTGTCCCACTGAGCTGTCCCACTGTTTCCACCACTGTCCCCACTGTCCCCACCACTGTCCCCACTGTACCTCTGTCCCATTGTCCCACCGCCGTCCTCGCCACCGCCTTTACCAGTGTCCCCACCACCATTGTACCCTCCACTGTCCCAGTGTTTCCACCTCATTCCCACTGTCCCCACACCACTGTCCCCACCACCACCGTTCCCACCACTGTCCACTGTCCCCCCTGTTCCCACCATTGTCCCCACCACTGTCCCCACCACTACCGTCCCCACCACTGTCCCACTGTCCCCCCACTGTCCCCACCACTGTCCCGCTGTCCCCTCACCACTGTCCCCACCAACGCCGTCCCCACCACTGTCCGCACCCCCACTCGGTTTTCGAGGGGGGGGGGGGGGTTCGAACCGGTAGTGACCCCCCCCCTTTTCATGATGAGCTGGGGGGGAGGGGGAGGGGTTCGAACCGGTAGTGACCCCCCCCGGTTTTCCGGAGGGGGGGGGGGGGGGGGAGGGGTTCGAACCGGTAGTGACCCCCCCCGGATTTCCGCCAGCAGCGGTAGAACACGCTCTTTCAGTGATTTAGATAGGCTCGGCAATAAGCATGCGGATCGTTTTGCCAGGCTAGGAGCAGGCATGCACCCCATGCCCGAGATGATGGGTTCAGGCCATCGACGCCTGTCGTGCGGTCCAGGAAGAGATCGTACGATGGGGTGCAATTCAGGATGTGATCATGGCCGATAGAGGTTGGGCTGACGCGTCTGGTTTCCCTGGGCCCGCCGAGGCTGAGAGATCGGAACGCGATTTCCCCATCCTTGATAAGAATGGCCAAATTCGGTGCCAGGCCAGGGCGTTGCGTCAGCTTTCGGCGCCCTGGTGGCCTCGAGTCGATTTTCGAATGCCGATTCTCTCGGACACAGGGGCTGAGAGCCCTGGCAGTCCTGAGCAGTTGTCTGAGTTGTCCTTGCTTGCCCGCCTCCAGGGGCACAACCTTTGCAAGGCAAAGGTCTTCGTGGGGGACGGGAGTCGGGCGGCTGGGAGTGGGTGGGTGATTTCGTGCATTCGTTGTGGTGGCTGTGCGTGGACTGGTGTGGCCTCGCTAGCCAATAGATGCCCTGGCCACCCCCCCACTAAGGACCTCAGGCGACAGAGGACGAGGTTTGCTAAAGGTGACTTTCCTAGCTGGGCTCGGCAGTACAAAGGTTGGTCGGTCACAGGCCACCGATCGCCAACCCCCTTGGATCTTGTGTCCCTGGTCCGTGCGTCGCGCAAAGGGGTCCAGTTTTCGGGGGGGGCTGAGCCTGAGGCGTGTGATTTTGTCGATAGCCTGTGGGAGGAGAAGTGGACCCCTGGTCAGCTCCTCTCAAGATATGGCTTGATTTTGCCAGCGGAGGCTGATCAAGGTATCGTGTCCTAAGCTGCGTTTGTTGCTAAGGGCGGGTGGCGCTGACACCTGCCTCCACAGTGAACTGAACTGAACTGACCTCTGCTCGGCGCGACCGCTCGCAGCAGTGCGTCGTGGTGGGGGAGAGGCTCCACCCGCCTCGAAGCGGGCGCCGGAAGCGGCCAAGATCTGCTCCAGAGGGGCAGGGGAGGGGAGGGGAGGGTGCGAGGGCCCGCGCCGATCGGCAAGACACAGAATCAGGAAACGATCGCCTGTGGGTCACAGCCCGGGCCTCGGGCGGCCGCTCGGGGGACTCTGCGGGCCCCTCCGGCTCGGAGCGCCCTCGCTCGAGGGGCAGTTGCCGGAACAGCACCCCCGGGCCCCCTTATCGGGCCATGAGGAGCTCACGTTGGCGGCGCGCAAAAGGGGGTAGGGGGGGGGGGGAAGGCTTCTTAGAAGCACCCTGCTTCTTAGAAGGCCTCGGCCTTACGCCTGTAGAGAAGGCCCGCGCCTTCTAAGAAGCAGGGGTGCTTCTGAGAAGCCTTCCCCCCTCCCCCTGCCCCCCCTCTGCGCGTTGCCGATCACGGCAGAAATTGTTTGATAGCCCTGGGCCCCCGTGGGCCCGCGACCGGAGGCCCCCTGGGGCCGTCAAAGACGGCTCAGGATGAGGAGCGGGTCATGGGGGAAGGGGGTCCAAAGCTTTGGAAGTCCACGCTGCGGGAACAGAAACACATGGCATCGGGGGCCTGGGTCACACGCAGCCAGTCTTGAAGCACAGGGGGGCTTCCGCAGAGACTCCTGGCCCTCTCAGAAAACCACCCCCTCTCGCCCAAGGCCGTTCATGGCGACAGCTGAACCGAAAACCGACGGAACCGACATCGCAACCGAAACCAATCGAAGCTCACAGGCCGCAAGCAACCCAGAACGGCGCAGCGACGTCGCAGCGACACAGCTACCGACCGAAGTGAACCGACCGAACGCATCCGACTGTGACACAGCTCAACCGACCCCAAACACGCGATGTCTTGATTTGTTTTGAATACGAGCGCCCCCAGACGTCCCGATCTGTTCCGTAGGGCTGGTTTTTCATTCCGAATCGTCTTTTGACGGTTCCGTAGCTCGGCGAGCGCCCTCAAAGGCCGAAAATGGCCAAAAACATTCCACGACGCGAGCACGTCTGGGACCCAACCGCGGACACCCGCGTCGCCCCGTACCCCCCTCGAGGACGAAGGTGATGTCATGATACGATTGGGTCGGGATGCTTTCCAGTGCTTCCAGAATATCGAACAACCCTCGCTTCTGCTGCCCGTGCGGAACGTACGGAAATTGGGGAACCCTCGGAAAATATAATTGTTCGCCAGCGTGGACCCCAAACAATCACTTCTTGCACCGTGGATGGGTGAGCTAGGTGGTGACGCGATGCCATCGGCGGTGGACAAACCTCCCTTTAGTAAACCTCCCTTTAGTGAAAACGGCCCGGGACCGAAACCGACGGACCTGGACCCGCAAAAACGACGGCCGCGACGCCCTCTCGCGAGCCGAAAACGGCCGATTCCTTCATCGACGCGTCAGGGTAGGAGGTCCATCCTCCTCCGAGGTCTGGGGCCCGATACCGCTACTCCCTGGACCTGTCCCGGAGTGCGTTCTGACCAGGATTTCGAGGCGAATCCGATGGTGGCGACGAGGGCCCTTCGAGGAGGCCCCACAAGGGGAAAACGAGGAGAGGGTAGCCAATTCCTTAATCGACGAGTCAGGGTAGGAGGTCTGTCCACCCCCGATGCCACTCTCACGGCGCAGCGCTGGAGGCGGCCACGGGGCAGCCACCGAGGCGGCCGCGGGGCGGCAGCGTGGCGATGCCTCGCCAAAAACCCGCCCCGGCGCACGAGGCGGCCACGGGGCGGCCACGGGCGGTGAGGTGGCGAAGCCCCGCCTCGCCAAACAATCACTCATTGCACTGTGGATGGGTGAGCTGGGTGGTGGCGCGATGCCACTCTCACGGTGCAGGGCCGGAGGCGGCCACGAGGCGGCCGCGAGGTGGCTGCGGGCGGCAGCGTGGCGACACCTCGCCAAAAACCCGCCCCGGCGCACGAGGCGGCCACGGGGCGGCCACGGGCGGTAGAGTGGCGAGGCCTCGCCGGACAGAACCCTCCGTGCAGGTCTTCCTTCACCAGCCTCGAACTTATCCCTATCCCTGAGATTGACACGCCAAAAGGCGATGACAATCTCTTAGGGGGTGCACCCTCAGAAACTGAGGGAATCCTTAAGATCGCCATCGTGACGAGGCGATGCCCAACATCGGGATAGGGACAGGTTCCAGGCTGGTGATTCCTGACGACGAGAGACGGGCGCAGCGCACAGCCGAGGGCGCCCGACATGGCCCCCGTCCGTCCGGGGCACGCGGGGGCTGCGCCGTGCGGGCGCCGCATGGCGAGGCGTGCGGAGTCTGCGCCGCTGCCCCCGGCGGCGCGCAAATCACCAAGGAGGGGGCGTCGCCGGCCCGCGTGCGGGCAGGCCCTCCTCCCACCCCCAAGTGCACGCATCGTCCGGGGAAAATGTCACGACCTCTTGATCCTCTGGTCGGTTGGCGCGTCGCGCCGAGGCGTGGTGGGCCACAGCCCGGCGGCGCGACGCGCTGACCCAAAGTCCCCGACCGTCTCACAGCGCGCTGGCTGTGGACCCTTCGTGAACCTGGGGGATCCTGGAAAGATTGGAAGTCTCTGGAACGCATCATGCTCCTCCCTAGAACCTCCTGGAACCTTCTTCAAATCTTGGGAACCCTGGAAACTTTGGAAGCCCAGACATCCGACGTCTCGGTTTTTTCGAGACGCGGGCCCCCGACCTCCCAACCACTTCCCTGGGACCGGTTTTTCATCCCGAGCCGTTTTTTGACGGCCCCGAGGCCCGGCGAGGGCCCCGAGAGGCCGAAAACTATGAACCTCTTGCTGGGTAGTCGAAGCCAATCTGGCGCCAATCTGGCAGGCCCAATCTGGCAAACGGGGGCAATCTGGCGAGGGAGCCAACGCGAATCCAGCCTGGCGAATAACCCAAGTCCTCCAATTTGGCCAGGCCAGATTGGCCCTTGGGGCCCAATCCAATCTGCCAGCCTGGCCGTCGACTACCCAGTCTTGCTCCTCCGACCCCTGGCGTCGCGCCGCCCGCCTGCGCCTCCGCGACCTGCGCCTCGAGGCCCCCCACCTCGGCCAGCGTCTGCTCCAGGTCGCACTGCCAGCCCCCCTGCCGCACCTCGCTGGCGGCGCGCACGGAGGGGGTCCTCCTCCTCCTCCTCCTCCTCCTCCTCCTCCTCCTCCTCCTCCTCCTCCTCCTGCTCCCTCGTGCTCGTGCTC